TTTGGGTGTATTTGTAGACTACATTTTAGTTTCTGTCACTATTAAAATGAGAATTTTGTTTATGTTTGAGCATTTTGGGGATTGTGCACTGATATAGGCTTCAGTCGTACTTATCAAACACATGAGAACAAAGCTGACGTTTCTGTAACATGATTCAAACACTCATAATCCATATAAACTAAACTATATAAAGTTAAATGAAAATATAATTGAAACATTGTTTATAGTATAATGACATTTAAAATAAAAAAAATGAAATGTAATATATAAAATAAAACAGAAAAACAAATAGAAATGATATAGAAATGAACCGCAATTAAACAAATACAATTAAAATTACAGTAAAATTAATGCGAAGAACATTCATACAAACATTACATTGTAATATGTAAAATGAAATAAATAAAAACACGTGGAAATATAAGTTTTGCGCATTGAAACAAACCCATACATACGATCCTCTGCCAAGCCCCAAAATCAAGACCAAATGTCAATGTTTGTACCTGTCCAATTACGTAACTTTTTTTTAATAAACTTCTTTTATCAATGTATACTCTGAACTCAGAATAGCTGTTTGACAGCATAAATTAATAGCCGCCAACAGCTTGCTATCCACACACTGTGGACCGACAATTGCTTACCCTGGCCTCGGGTCGTATGTAAATTTAAATCGCATTTCTCTCGTTGTTTTGACAACAGAACTATACTCTAGAGGAGTAATCAGGGCATTTCTTTGGGGCTAGGTTTTTTTAACGAGTATGCAGAAATCAGGATTCGAGGTAACTCATATTTTACTGTCTCTTTACTGTCGTGGTGAGGTTTTACTATGGAACGTGTGAGATCAGGAATGGCGTGAAACATATGTTTGTCTGCTGTCTGCTATTTGGCGGGGAAACGTGACACATGAACATCCTCAGATCCTTAGTCCTTGTGTGACCCACAAGATTACTTCCAGAGACTGTATTCTCTAACTCTTTTATATATCAAGTCTCTGTAATTTCAGGCAGGCGTAAATCAATCATGTTCTTGCTGGGGTATGATTTTAGTGGATGTCAAATGTTTTAATCCGCAGTTATTTACCAGACATAGCATATGCGGCCGAGGGCTTAAACTGTCTGGACTCACTAGTTGCAGGACCGCGAATCTGCGTTCACTCCGTCAGGGGGACATAAAGTGGGAAAAGAAAAAAGTGAAGGGCTGTATGGTGTTTCGAGGAGATGGAATTTCTGTTTGAGATACCTCTGTTGAGTTCCAGTTTACAGTTGCGTTTTAACTCACCGGGTCCCAGTTTTATGTATGTATTATTCCAGCAAAGTATTTCCCCAGCTTACTAATTCAGTTAAAATCCTTTTATGTCTGCCTGTGGTTAAATAGTTAGATTAGTTCTGTGTAACTGTTCCCTCATTTCCTGGTGTGGATTCAAAACAGCCACTTTTAATTGATTGACAACTCTGACAGTCACCCACCCCCTGGTATGCATTATACTCAATATTGCTTGTTAATAAGGTAATTATGAACGTGCTAGTAAAATAAAAAAAAAATAACCACAGGGATAAATTGAAATTGTACACAGCAAAGTCATACATACCTTACCCTCCCCCGTCACTACAATCTCCTGTAGATTACATGGCGTGACAAAAATAAAATTGGTTGCTAGTGGTGCTAAGGGAGATGTTGCCGATTTTATTGGCGCCTGGAGTGCTAATTTCCAAAACAAGGGAAGGGCATGTATTTCGTAAAATTGTATTTTAATATTTAATTTAAAATATCAACGTCACAGAGCCATTAACATTGGCTGTACTATTAGGATATGACTTTCCATTTACAGCTGAATTCAATCTAATGTCCCTCATGTTAAACATGCATACACTCATGTATTGATTACATATTTTATTTCACTGTATCCGTATTTTATTACCACTAAAGCATAACGTATACACTGCTTATTACACGTATTTTTGCATACGAATAATTTAAACGAAAGACCCATCACCATCGTCGAATATGATGATGATTTTCTCAACATCAATGTCCTCCTTACGGATTATATACTGCAACTATGGAGTGAACACACAGAAAATTAAACACACTCAAGTATTTAACACTTTTGGCATCATTAGATGAGAACAAATCACAAAATAAAAACAACCTGGCTGCCTGGGATTCACACTACCCATAGCGTTGTCATTTCAAATCAAATGTACACGTACTACTGGAGCTATTCAATAATGAAATTTCCTCACCAACTGAAGACCAAACGCCGATTTAACTAACACCAATGCCGATTTGAAACAAACATAATCATATATACGTCAGTGTTTTTATATTTTGCAATATATTTTTAATATGTTTTAAATATGGCATAGCTCAACTATTTAAACTTTGTGTAGCCAGTATCAAACAATTATAAAAAAAAGCAAAATATTAATTTTCAGGCTCAGATCACACAAATCTACATCTATACTTTACAAATTAATCGCAGTAATGATGTGCTCACCTTCCTGGAACAATCCACATGTCCCCAAAGTCACCAGACTCAGTAACTAATTTTAGTGTCCCATCTGGCATCGGTACCTGCATATCATTAGACGGATCCCCGTCAGCATTTCCCAACATGCCACACACTTTTCCGAACATAGATTTGTTTAGAACAGGAGCAACGCGTCCTTTGCCATTCCACGCCAAAGTAAATGTTGAATCTAGTTTTGCTCTCACATATCCTGCATTATCTCGTGTCACTGTCAGATTTCCGAGTATCAGTGGAGTCAGAAGACTATGGATTTTGCCATTTATCTATAAAGTTAGTGAATATAATAGACAATATAAATTAATGTGCCATATATGATGTGTATTATGCTAGAAACATTTGATTGTAATGTATTGCAAACGTGAAAGCTGCTGTGTGCACCCCTTCGCTACAATTCATTACAATACACTTTCCAGGTTACAATAGTAAACAATTCAAGTGGCTGACAAAATAGAAATCCATGATGTACGAGAATATTCACCACTGCCAATTAAATTTAAAAATGGTTGGCAGAATCTCTGGTTCTGACTCTAAATTGTGAAAATTCATATTGGTAAAATACGAAACAATAAAACCGAAACTGTTCGGACAGCCTACTGAATTGGTAAGTTACATCGTGTAGGATTGTAGCAGCTCTGCCTGTTTAACTCTGTTTTTCCACTGATTAGTCGTGCAGTGTTTTCTGGCTAGAGCCGTAGGGCTCCGATAAAATGCTGTTGTGTGAACGTAGCAATTAATCATCCACTAACAATGCTATCTGATTCTATCTGAGTGTACACATCAATGGAGTGAAATCTACTTACGTAAAGCCTGTCCTCAATCAAGGTAACACGGTCTCCATTAAGAACAATCGAAACTTCGGAAACCACCATTTTCATAACTTCCCTGAGATAATGGTATCGGATCAAAACAGTGAAAGATGGACGAGGTACACAATCTTCAAATAATACGTACTCACAATCGCTGTTGCCATTATACATATAATGAAATCCGTCGAATGTGCGAATCTGTGGGTCCCCTTGTACACTAGCACTCCCTGGTGGCCGTGGGGATGGTGTTGGCTCTGTAATAGAACGTTGTTTTCATTGCATGACTTAAGTTCTACTTTTGAACAGAACTGGGTAATTCCATAGTATTGCAAGATCATTTTAGGTGGAATGAAAGCAACATAGAAATATTCATCCAAAATTAGCAAAAAAGGGGATTGGAAAATGATTTAACTTCCAGTTTATAAAATTATCTGTTTTTTTAACTGTATTGCACAACGTATTTTCATAAGACCATATAGTATACAAACCAACTCACGGGTATCCCCTGTAACGAAAAAAAAATAGTTATAATAACAATAATTTTAAACAATGTTGTGTTAAATTATTATACTGTAATAATTCGAGACAACGTATATTTAAATGTGAGTATCTTGTACATTCTTACGTTTACAACATTTGCAGAAAAAGGGGAACGGACAGGTGTTTTCCATTTGTCCTATGTGCTCGCCGGCTTTACATTTGAAAAGTCTACACTTCCCTCCGAGCTCTTCGCATTTGGTGTCTGTAATTGCAAAGCAACAGTCCTACTTGGTCAAATTTGCCATTTCTAGATTGCACGTGCGCCTTTTATGTTATCAAATCGTTATGTGTACGTTGGCCGGTTCGCGTGGTACATGTACATTAATGGCCACACATTCGGATTGTTTTTCAGTACGTGTTCTTCATATCAATAATAATTCATGTTCGCAAAATCCTGCATTCCATTTAGTGATTGCATTACAACTCAGGTTTGTTGAAATGATATAAACATAACTTACGACAAAACCATTGACATATATCGAAACCCAAACCGTATAGAGCTTTCAGAGCTGAAAAAAATTAAATGTCCAGTTTTAAAGGAGTTGTCAAAAAAAAGGAAGACAAATCACACAATAATGCCAAGGCGAATGTGGTCATAAACACTTGCAAGTTTTAGTTTGATATTTTAGAGTTATTATAATGGTAATGTTAAACAATATCTAGTCGTAACAATTGTTTCGTGTTAATCAGAATCCCAATCAACGACACTGTAGAAATCCAGTATATTAAGCGATAATAGCTTACTATCTTTATTAGCGCACGACTTGCAACCCAATTTGTCGTTAGTGGTACCACAGGGTAAGGAATCTTTTTGATAACTACATATTTCTGCCTCGTTGTCTTGACACACGGCTCGGCATGTCGCATTAACATTCTCGTCTGTCTGAGTCTGGACTTCCTTAATATATGATTGTTCTACATTGTGAAATAAAATACGTTTAAATACATACAGACTGCAGACTAAATTAAACTATTACGTCATTACAGGAAGTGTGTGTAACTTACTTACCAGGACACGCTGGCTCAGCACCTGGGAGTAAAATAATAAAGACGAATTATGGACTAACACCCCTAATTAATAATATGCTCTTGTCAGTTGCTCTGTTCTTGTTGACTGTTTGGCCGTTTAGTCTGGTTGTTTTGTGGAGTACTTGTCGGTGTTTTTGAAATTGTAAATTCCTATTTATGACTATCTCGTATTTTTACTTTAATTACATGTCATGCAAATCACCATTTTTAATTATCTTAAACTATTACAAATAACATACGATATACCTAATTAGTATTCATATCATGTGCAGTGTAAACAGAAGGTGTAACTCACGTGTTTGTTTGGGGAAAACCCATTTAGAAAGTTCATCCTGTACAAACACAAATATGGATAAAATCAAAATGATATATTCAAAATATTCATAACTTGTTGGTCCTTTAGTATCTCTATGACGACTTTAATGAATGGAAATAATGAAATTACCTCACTGCATGAAGTCAACGTCAATGTAGTCGCGACTAACAAGCATCGTAAAACAAGAAATGACATCCTGAAAATCTGTGAACCAATGGAATCGAAATGAGCTTTATTTATTTCACATGGAATGCCGAATTAATTACTTTGGTAGTTTGACTCAAATTTAAAATATAAGATATATATTGTAGTGAGTGAAACAGTCATTAGGCGAGCTAAAATACTTAACCCATTTTGTACTATAAACAATCGGCAAAGAAATACATTACATTTTCGGCATTCCATGGTTGTGATGTTATTGTCTTCAGGTCAAAAGTTATTAATTTTTTTATTTGTGTTTACAATTCTGTAAAGCTGTAATCAACATCAAGCAGTATTTTGTCCATAAAAAATAAGAGTCAATCCTGGATAGTGTATACGATATGTGTGTATAATTAGTACATTAAGTAGTTGTGTAGATAGAAATATATGACAGAAATATTAATTATAATATTGATGTTTTGATATCGAAATCTTAGCCCAGTTTACATGGGAGCATTGAATTTGTCCAGCTACATATACGTATATTTCGTCCGTCTGATTTACAACAATGCGTGGATGGTAGAGAAATGTAGGAATGTAATAATGTCGAAGCAATACTCGTCAGCAATTTTCAGCATTAATGTTAACGTTGAAAATACGAATTCGATGCAACTGTTTTATTCACAGAGCAGAGAAACTGCATAAAAGAAATTATTAACAGCATTACAAAACCATCAACAGCATACGACACGGCAAATGCGCCATCGCCACTGTCCTTACGACACGACCTTAAATGTGGAAATTCACACACTGATCAAACTTCCCCTGCACGTACAGTTGCACGGTGTACAAATTATGGAAATATATATTTCCCTGGGACATTATATCGATGTAAACCGTATGTTCACATTACGTAATCCGGAAGAAGGTGTACATCTGTGCATCATAGAAGTCGTTTGTTATCGATATGAGTAAAATAATCTCAACAGAATGATACAACGCGTGCTATTATATAAAACACGACCTGTGGACGGATTAAAATGGTCCGATATGATTTGTCATTGTTCAAATAAATATGCGCGTAAAACTTCCTTCTGCGCAGTCGCACAATTATAAATATAACTTTTGCCCTGGAATAATTTATAGATGTATTCCGGTTACTGTAACCATATCAACGCCAATGATGAAATCGAGCCAAGAATGGACGTCTGTGTATCATATGTGTATTTTTGATGTAGATATGAATTGATCAATCACAATGGTTGGTTTTCTGAATCAGAGCAAATTCATGGCGGTGACACGGTTGTGTGAGTGTGTTACACACTAACCCCAGAATGTCTACAGTTCAAGCCATGCTTACTTTTGTTTCCATAGAAACAAAAGAATTGTTCACAGACATAGGGAACAAGATCTCTGTATTGTAATTGACTAGTCTTGGTATGCTTTTGAAATTCTAAATTTGCATATCGATGTACCCCCCCACAAAACATTAATTTTCCACTTGCTAAAGCAAAAAACACTCTACGCACCAGCTGTCCACAACAGACATCTCGGGATATCTGTGGCTTGTCAGTTTTTATGTAAAAACAAATCATAAATCTATCAAACATATGCCTAGAATCACATAGTTGATGCAGAAGATAAAACAAGGTAGAAAATGAAATTAATCACAATTAACACACGGATGAGGAAAAAACCCTATAGATTCAGGATAACCACGAAATAAGCTATTTAGGGATATTTAAAGGTAATTCAGAGATATTCTAATGAAATTTTTAAAGAATAAAAGTACAATTGTTATATCACATTTTAATTATAAACATGTATACTGCTGAAATTCAGAAAAATTGATAAAACTCGATGGTTACAAATATGGCGCATGATGAAATCGTCTGTCTATCATAAATGTGATGACGATGTCAAATTATGTACAACAACAGAATAACACAGCACATGTTAATATAGAACAAAATGACTTGTTGTGTCGATTGACCTGCCAATGGCATTTTATTTGTTACAGTGTTGTTTTAAGTCCAATTCATATTGAATATGTTGATATGTTATGATGTCGTAGCGTTTTTATTGGACCCAGTACGACATGATGTTTTTGTTTAAACTATTAATCTTAGTTTAGGATTAAGGCCACAGCGATGTTAAAATGAATTCATTATACCTTGCAATTCTGACTGAGAAGTGATAACCTCTGGCAATCATAACGACAAAAAGATAAATTCTCGCAACAATAATAGCAAGGTAATAAATCCCCGCAGTCATAGTAGTGACGTGACTACTCCTCTACTAATCTCACTATTATACGATCTACAACAGTAACTGATCTTTGTGGTATGGCAGTATGGTATAAATGACGCCCTCAACCAATCGCTCCTCGTCCTGTCAGGCTATGGCAACTTTTACTTTTCTCTGTGATGGCGGGGGTTGATTACTGACAAACACGGCCATTCTGCGGCCAGGTCGAACGTATTAAGATGCCTATTAGGATTTTTATAGTTCAACATTAAATGAATTGAATTTTATATTTTTGTATTAAGTATGCAGTTGGGTCGAATAATCACTTGATGAATAGTATCTTGGCCAGTACTAAAACAACTGTACCGAAACATGATCGCTATTGCATCAAGTAATAACAGCAAATATATGTTAAAACGGAAATTAGTCAAAATATAACGAATATAAACTTGAAAATTATTAGTGTAAGTGCTATTAGGTCGTAAATCACTTGATGTATAGTCCTTATACATATAACTGTTATTTCTCCAACCAAGAACAGCCATTGTATTATGATTTCAAACAAAAATGAGGATTTTCAGTTCATAGAAAATATAAGAAAGTGTAAATTCTGTCACCGAAATGTCAAGTTGATAAATTATGCGGGTAGTACTCCACCCCAATATGTTTACTGCCCAATTCATATGCATTTGTGTTACTGCAACTTTTCCTAATGTCCGTTTTGCAGTCCTCAGAAGAATTGTGTTTTACAAGGTTTTAACATGATGTTTTCAACTCACCAGAATTGTGTTCCCAGTCAAAATGTTTTCCATATCTATACACACAATGACAATGTCCATGCAGTATTATGTTGTATGTGTAAGATGATCGGTAGTGTATACTTTTCATAACTCAGAACCAATTTCACAGAACCCAATTTCAAAATAGTTTGCTTATCATCGGAAGTCATCTTTTAGGTTCTTATTACCCTACCCAATATAACCCGGACATGGTCCATGTTATTGTTTACCAATTTAAATAATATAAAATTACTGTAAATATGTTAAAGAGTGTTCTAGTGTTTGGTTACTGAAACGGCATTGTGCGTTTTACGGTAATGTTTTCATTCCCGCCTTGGTCGTTGCATTGATTTTGCGATGAAGGATTTTGTAGTGTAGAGTTTGTGTTTTCATGGGATTATATTTACCTATGGCCACACAACGTGTGGTGGCGATCGTATACGTTTTGTTTCGAATGTACTTGACTGTGACCCACCCACCACTCGATTGTAATTTGGCCAGCTGCTATTAGACATCACTCAGCATGACTAGTTGGAAGACAACCATATAAAAATAGTGTGAATAGAATAAACGTCTGTAATGAACAAGGAAAAAATAAAGTTTATTATATTTTTTATCTTAAGCATCAATATACAACAAGTTTACAAGTTTACAAAAAAATTCGAGTAAGAATAAAGTAAAAAGTTGAACCAATAGGAGATACAGGTGATGGTTGAATTATCTCGCCTGGAAGAAAATAAAAAAACAAACAAGTGGTACGGATTATATATTGTAATGACTGATTTGAGTAAGGTGTTGAGTAGAGGAATGTTCAATAGGAAGAACATTGTTGAGATGCTTTGGAAATGATTTGACTTTCCATAAATTAAATCTTGAGGCACATTGTAAATAACCAGTGAGAGGATGCTGAAAGCACTACCGTGCATTCAAGCATCCTCTCAATGAAAACACAGGTTATGCACATTATAATGAGGTAAATAAGTGTTGTAAACGGAGTGTCATGATTAAATCTGGTATGATGTGCATGGAACGACTCATGGTGCAAAAGCCGAAAATACTATATCTTGTTGTTTTCAATAAGTATATGTGCAGCAACAATAAACTGTACAAAACCAGACAAGTATTATAGACCCATATCATGCAAAGTTACAGGGTGTGTACAAATATACCCCCTTACTTTTAGGCTATTGTATGTTCATCCAACTGTCCATTCAGAATGAATAAGAAATAAAGTAGGTGCAAAGAGACTATATGGAATGTAATTGTACTTCATAGAGTTATCAATGATGATATCAATTCCATCAGACTGATAGAACCGATAAATGTAATGAATTTATCGCATGGCAATAGTAATGTGTCATCTGACATATAACCGGAGTGAATTGACCATGTGCAAAAACAGCATTTTTGGTTTGCATAACACATGCTATAAGAAGTAAACTTCTTGTATCACCAATGAAAAGGCTGTAAATGAGTCAACATCAAACCAGAAACATAGAATGTAAATGCATGGACCTGTTTGTACAGAATCCCAGTTCATCCCTCATTATTTTTGTGGATCATGTTAAAAAGATCTAAACCATTATGAGGCCAATGAAAAACTCATTTCCATAAAAAAAATAATAACAAATGACAACACATGTCATTGTTTAATGTTGAGGTGATTGGCATGAACTGTTAATCGGTGGCACCATTTCAAAAATGGCAGCTGGCAACAGAAAAACCTTCACTGATGTACATGTGTATGTAGTGAGCACAAGGAATTGGCCCCTATCAGTTTCTGCCTAATAAATGACAGTTATGTACATTCCTGCTGTGACCATTTACCTACAATAGCAACATCACAAGCATGATAAAAGCCCCCTGATGTACACATTGCAGCTCTTGCTGTTTCTTGCATGTGACAAAAGTCCGCCTAAATCACAAGAAACTTGTAGTGCGCCAAACAATGATCATGAAAAAGTAAGAATGAATAAAGCCAGCCATGCCAATGTGGTGAATCAAATGCAATTTCTTGCATGACTTTCTGCTCAATATTATACAGTGTGTGGTAGCCTATGCCGAATAATCAATGGTGTGGTCACAAATGATCATGAAGATTAATCATGATCACATACTTCATATACATTATAACATTACATTAATGGGCAAAGACTATAAATCATATCCATGCCCCTAGACATGGCTACATCCGAGGTCATCATTTTGCCAATGCCATTCTTGCATGTCATTATTGCTTGGTTGCATAGACTAGACTATTAATGTACAAGTATTTACACATATCGGCCTTAATTGGTTTTAGATGCT